TTAAAAGTTGCTTCAGGGTATGACTTTGGCAGAGATGTCTTACGATAAATAATATGGCAAGGATTTTGTCGCTTGTATTTACAATAGGCCCTACCCTCACTTTATGAATCAGTGATTAATACTCATTTTATTCATTCACCCAAATTATCTGAAGGCTAAAATGATTCTATTAAGACTTTCAATTTTAGTATAAATTGCGAAAGATAATTTTCTACTTTCCCTGAGTGGGGTCACACTGCGAGTGTTTATAGGGACACTGAGGTAGTTCTTATTAACACCGGGCTGCCTCCTCGGGTTTTGGGAGGTATCTGTATTCTCCAATTCTCAATGCATAACATTTGAATGATGTAAACATGCACGATAAGCGGAACACCACGTGTCTCGTGAATTAATTACAAGAGCCTGAGACAATGATTTATATGACGATTTGAATACTGCCATAAGGCTTAATTTGTCATATAATGTCATTAACAATCAGGAATAAAAATACTGCTGACAGTTGACTGACGCATGAACCCAACAACACCAACTGTTATTGATTAGTCGTTTCTGAAAAATAATGAAAAATGGGTTGTTCATAAACCTGTATTTTCTCACATGAAGACACGTATTAGTTTTGTATCATTCATAAAATTTGTCCTCAAGGAAACATGCTTATGTTACCGACGTTCCACGGGAGTCGTACATGTACTTCTATACTAAGTCTGCTGCTGTTTAAATGTACAACATGGACAGATAGTCCACACAACATATGGCTGTAGTGTGAGAGTGTCAACAATGTAAGTGTCCTTGTGTCAACAATGTAAGTGTCCCTGTGTCAACAATATAAGTGTCCCTGTGTCAACAATGTAAATGTCCATGTGTCAACAATGTAAGTGTCCCTGTGTCAACAATGTATCTGCTCCTGTGTCAACAATGTAAGTGTCCCTGTGTCAACAATGTAAGTGTCCTTGTGTCAACAATGTAAGTGTCCCTGTGTCAACAATGTAAGTGTCCCTGTGTCAACAATGTAAGTGTCCCTGTGTCAACAATGTAAGTGTCCCTGTGTCAACAATGTAAGTGTCCCTGTGTCAACAATGTAAGTGTCCCTGTGTCAACAATGTAAGTGTCCTTGTGTCAACAATGTATCTGCTCCTGTGTCAACAATGTAAGTGTCCCTGTGTCAACAATGTAAGTGTCCCTGTGTCAACAATGTAAGTGTCCTTGTGTCAACAATGTAAGTGTCCCTGTGTCAACAATGTAAGTGTCCCTGCGTCAACAATGTAAGTGTCCCTGTGTCAACAATGTATCTGCTCCTGTGTCAACAATGTAAGTGTCCCTGTGTCAACAATGTAAGAGTCCCTGTGTCAACAATGTAAGTGTCCTTGTGTCAACAATGTAAGTGTCCCTGTGTCAACAATGTAAGTGTCCCTCTGTCAACAATGTAAGAGTCCCTGTGTCAACAATGTAAGTGTCCCTGTGTCAACAATGTAAGTGTCCTTGTGTCAACAATGTATCTGCTCCTGTGTCAACAATGTAAGTGTCCCTGTGTCAACAATGTAAGAGTCCCTGTGTCAACAATGTAAGTGTCCTTGTGTCAACAATGTAAGTGTCCCTGTGTCAACAATGTGAGTGTCCCTGTGTCAACAATGTAAGAGTCCCTGTGTCAACAATGTAAGTGTCCCTGTGTCAACAATGTATCTGCTCCTGTGTCAACAATGTTAGTGTCCTTGTGTCAACAATGTAAGAGTCCCTGTGTCAACAATGTAAGTGTCCCTGTGTCAACAATGTATCTGCTCCTGTGTCAACAATGTTAGTGTCCTTGTGTCAACAATGTAAGTGTCTCTTTGTCAACAATGTAAGTGTCCCTTTGTCAACAATGTAAGTGTCCTTGTGTCAACAATGTAAGTGTCCCTGTGTCAACAATGTAAGTGTCCCTGTGTCAACAATGTAAGTGTCCTTGTGTCAACAATGTAAGTGTCCCTGTGTCAACAATGTAAGTGTCCTTGTGTCAACAATGTAAGTGTCCTTGTGTCAACAATGTAAGTGTCCCTGTGTCAACAATGTAAGTGTCCCTCTGTCAACAATGTAAGTGTCCTTGTGTCAACAATGTAAGTGTCCCTGTGTCAACAATGTAAGTGTCCCTGTGTCAACAATGTAAGTGTCCTTGTGTCAACAATGTCAGTGTCCCTGTGTCAACAATGTAAGTGTCCCTGTGTCAACAATGTAAGTGTCCTTGTGTCAACAATGTAAGTGTCCCTGTGTCAACAATGTAAGTGTCCCTGTGTCAACAATGTAAGTGTCCTTGTGTCAACAATATAAGTGTCCCTGTGTCAACAATGTAAGTGTCCTTGTGTCAACAATGTAAGTGTCCCTGTGTCAACAATGTAAGTGTCCTTGTGTCAACAATGTAAGTATCCTTGTGTCAACAATGTAAGTGTCCTTGTGTCAACAATGTAAGTGTCCTTGTGTCAACAATGTAAGTGTCCCTGTGTCAACAATGTAAGTGTCCCTGTGTCAACAATGTAAGTGTCCTTGTGTCAACAATGTAAGTGTCCCTGTGTCAACAATGTAAGTGTCCTTGTGTCAGCTGCTGTGGTAACAATTAAGTTTTAGTCCCCTTTTACAAATCCATTTTCTATTGTCTCTATTTTGTTATTAGGTTGATTACGGGTTTCAAGCACTTGATAAGATTGAATGTGATGTGTAAGATATTAATATAGTATTAGGTTGTATGTGTAAACCACAGAAATATTAAAAATAACCTCGTGAAAGTAAGAATAGACAAATGTGTAAATGGCAAATAATCCAATACAAGTCGGATAAATGGATGCTAATTAATCGATTGTCATTCTAAGACATGCAACACAATTAGTTCTCTTAAAAATATCAAAAGGTACATTTCATAGTCAATATAGTTCCTTTAGTTTCAGATTTAAAAGAATTTGTCGTCGAAGTTTGTAAATTTTAGAGCTCTGCACCATTTCATCGGCTGGACGAGGTTCGAACCATGTATTTGTCTACAACCAGATATTTGCTGGATGGTCGGTAACAAGTACTGTTAGGTTTGACACCAGTGTGTCATGCCAAATTTTGATAGATTTAAGGACTTGCATGACAATGTCTTGGTAGTGGAAATACAGATGTAAATCCACGTGAGCCTCAAGAGTATTTTTGGTGATGACACTGTGTCAAACATTCACTATAAAGTACAGATTCCCGTACGTGTTTTTTGTCCGGGATTCGGACCCACATTGCCAGAGTGAGGCACCTAATCGCCAGCACACAAAGCCAGCGATCTAACCCACTCAGCCACCGAGGCTTCCACAAAAAACGAAAGCCCGACAACTGGAAGTCTAGGCGGTGAGCGTATCCTTCTTACTGGTGGCACCCGTTGAGAAATGACGCTGAACATAACACGTAAAGGAGCCAGGGCTATTGATACACAATACCTACACGAGCCATGGACACATTCATAGCAACGTACACTCACGAATACCACTAACATGCCGCGTCTGATCTGAAGTCTACAACATCTGCCACACCTCTTTGTAGGTGTAGAATCATAACAGGCAGCATTTCCACATTCAACGTCATACCGACCAATCAGAACACGTTGTAATACGTCTAGCCACTTACATATTACATATGTAGACAATTATTTGTCCAGCCATCAATTGGACGTTGATAATCTCCACTGATGCATCCCTATACATTCACACAGTCGAGTCCACTATTCATTCTCAGTTAATTCAATCTGATGTCAATCATTCCACAGCACATTAAAAACTATCAAAAGTGACGACCATTCGTACTCTGCCAGGGACGGAAATAAATCATATTAATATTTCTTTAGAAGAAATCAACCAAACTGTCATCATCTGTCAATGTCGAGCTACAGCCTCTAGGGAGTTTGTTTCCCTTCAGCCCAGTACAAGAGCCAGGTCACACTACAGACAACATCCCAGTACAAGAGCCAGGTCACACTACAGACAACATCCCAGTACAAGAGCCAGGTCACACTACAGACAACATCCCAGTACAAGAGCCAGGTCACACTACAGACAACATCCCAGTACAAGAGCCAGGTCACACCACAGACAACATCCCAGTACAAGAGCCAGGTCACACTACAGACAACATCCCAGTACAAGAGCCAGGTCACACTACAGACAACATCCCAGTACAAGAGCCAGGTCACACTACAGACAACATCCCAGTACAAGAGCCAGGTCACACTACAGACAACATCCCAGTACAAGAGCCAGGTCACACTACAGACAACATCCCAGTACAAGAGCCAGGTCACACTACAGACAACATCCCAGTACAAGAGCCAGGTCACACTACAGACAACATCCCAGTACAAGAGCCAGGTCACACTACAGACAACATCCCAGTACAAGAGCCAGGTCACACTACAGACAACATCCCAGTACAAGAGCCAGGTCACACTACAGACAACATCCCAGTACAAGAGCCAGGTCACAGTACAGACAACATCCCAGTACAAGAGCCAGGTCACACTACAGACAACATCCCAGTACAAGAGCCAGGTCACACTACAGACAACATCCCAGTACAAGAGCCAGGTCACACTACAGACAACATCCCAGTACAAGAGCCAGGTCACACTACAGACAACATCCCAGTACAAGAGCCAGGTCACACTACAGACAACATCCCAGTACAAGAGCCAGGTCACACTACAGACAACATCCCAGTACAAGAGCCAGGTCACACTACAGACAACATCCCAGTACAAGAGCCAGGTCACACCACAGACAACATCCCAGTAGGGGTACATGGGAACATATCGTTAAATAGGAAATCGCAACAGACGTCATGTTTGCCACTGATGCGCTAGATTTGGAAATTACCTCCATATGTCTGCCATGAAACCTTTTGACAGCTTCACTGAGGCCTTGAATGTTGTAACTCTTGGAAAATACTTTGTTTTATCAATATTTAATTCTCAATTCATTTAACATGCATAACGAAACAATAATTTCGGTGACATTCTATTCCTGCTCAGTTATACACGTTTGGAGTAACTGAAATAGGAGGATATTTCTACGAGTCGAGTTACAAGCATCATAAGTGAATGGATCCATGGATGAATGAATTGCGCAGCACGATTTACTCACGGGGGATGCAGGGGGAATGCAGGGGGATCCAGGGGGATCCAGGGGGGTGTAGGGGGATGCAGGGGGGTCCAGGGGGGTGCAGGGGGTGTATGGGAATGCAGGGGGATCCAGGAGGGTGCAGGGGGATGTAGGGGACGCAGGGGATTCAAGGGGGGCGCAGGGGGTGTAGGGGGGATGCAGGGGGATACAGGGGGGTGCAGGGGGATCCAGGGGATGCAGGGGGGGGGGGGCAGGGGACGCAGGCGATGCAGGGGGATCAAGGGGGGCGCAGGGGGTGTAGGGGGGATGCAAGGGGATCCAGGGGGATGCAGGGCGATTCAGGGGGGTGCTCTCTCTCATGTTTACTATGAAGCTTTTTGATAGCCTCTGTGTGGCCTCAATAGTTGTAACTTTGATCAAGTATTTTTTTGTAAGAGTCCTATGACGCTTTTTGAAAGAACATGCTCGACTGTTCATCAACCGACAGGAGCTGCTGGAATATTGCTCGACATGAAGGGAAAGTTAACTATTGGAAATGGAATACATGTATAACAGATAACGTCAGAGAATAATCAGTCTCGATTATCATCCGAAATCTTTTGGCGCAAAAGCCAAAACAGCGGTGTACATTATATGACTGGATCGCTGAACATGACTGACGACACCAGGTGTTAGCAAAAAGGGTAAGCAAGTAAGCCGTTTTGTCAAAAGGATAGTTTATTGTTAAATGTTTACAAATAGATTTTCGTTGTGTTCATTGAAATTCCTGCATTCTGATTACCGGAATTGGTCAAGCGTTATTGCTTTCATTTCCCAATGAATGTGAAAGGTTAGGCCACGCCCCCTGAAGCGAACTACTTTTATCCCTAAGAAATGTCGTGGAATCCAAATATTACAGTCGAGGGAATTCCCATTCTGCTCACGTACATCGTCATGCACAGGACATTTAGCGAAATATATGTATATGTCGTTGTCCAAACAACCTTTTGAGACCGAAGACGGAGAAGGAATGAAAGATCAAACGTGCAGGCTCGCTCGCCTGTTTGTTTTCCCGCTCGCCACGGTTCAACAACTTTCGGGTCTTCGGGTTTCATTTTAAACTAGCATTTTTCCAACTGTGTCTTCCCGTTCTCAGGGACCAAATGTTTGAATATGGCGGTAACTGACCATGTCATTTGAAACAGCCGTGTGTCCATTAATCACTATGAAATAGTGATGACACCCGGTGTTCGCGAAGGGTGAGCGTAACTATCCTCCACAACCGGTGTCAGAATTGCGGTTGGTTCTATTCTGAGATTGTAAAACAATCCTTTGATTTGATACTCTTCTTGTTAGTGATAGATGGAATATTTTATGGAGCTTCAACGAAATGGTCACATTGTTCTGTCCTGCAACACAGATGTGCAACCTGACATTAGGTCATATTCCAACAACCCACGTGTAAGATAACAAGAGTAGTTTGCTAGTTCATATAGCAGGTAACAGTTAAACGGTATGAGAAAATACATGGGCTCACATTGTGTTCACATCCAAGTGTGTGAGCAGAAGTTCCTATGTCATATATACACATCACCTCTCTGCGGTTGGTTTGGGCCCAGGATTTGAAAATCTTTTGGTTAGACACTGAGGATGCCTACGTTCATCTCATAAGTCGATCATTTCTGAAACAGGGAAATTCAGCCCAACACCTCAAAATACTCAAGGTTTGAGTTCAGCTTTATCCCCTCAGAACATACATCAAGCAGGCTACCAAAACAATAGCGGCCAAACAAAGAAGGACCACTTAGGTTCTTCATACTCTCACACTGGTGTTCTTCATACTCTCACACTGGTGTTCTTCATACTCTCACACTGGTGTTCTTCATACTCTCACACTGGTGTTCTTCATACTCTCACACTGGTGTTCTTCATACTCTCACACTGGTGTTCTTCATACTCTCACACTGGTGTTCTCCATACTCTCACACTGGTGTTTTTCATACTCTCAAACTGGTGTTCTCCATACTCTCACACTGGTGTTCTTCATACTCTCACACTGGTGTTCTCCATACTCTCACACTGGTGTTCTTCATACTCTCACACTGGTGTTCTCCATACTCTCACACTGGTGTTCTCCATACTCTCACAATGGTGTTCTTCATACTCTCACACTGGTGTTCTTCGTACTCTCACACTGGTGTTCTTCATGCACTCACACTGGTGTTCTCCCTGCACTCATATCATTTACCAAATCTACCTTGAGTACAGTTTTGGTGTAACAGTGGAGGCCTAAGATGAACATTTACACATCTTGTGCACTTGTTGAATCATTAAATACATATTTGTGAAAGCTGAGGCGGGAAAGAGTATCCTACCTCGATATTAGTACTTTGGCCAGGATATTTTAAGGAATGAGTCCGATCAAAACAGGTTGGAGGTTCCCCAGCGCTGACATCATAGAAGGACAGCTCCGTCCCGGCTTCAGGATCTGTCCGACGCTGTCGAGGATGGGTTCTTGTCAAAGAACTGGTTTGACTACACAACGTGATGTACCGTCGGTGTGACCGTGTACCCCGAGTATACGATGTGATGTACCCTTCTTGTGGCCATGTAATCCGAGTATGAGATGTGATGTACCCTCCGTGGGGCCGTGTACCCCATATATACGATGTGATGTACCCTTCCTGGTGTCATGTAATCCGAGTAAACGATGTGATGTACCCTCTGTGTGTCTTCGTGTCCCGACTGTACGATGTGATGTACCCTCTGTGTGTTTGTGTACCCCGAGTATACGATGTGATGTACCTACCTTATGTGTGTTCGTGTACCCCGAGTATCCGATGTAGTATATCCTCTGTGTGGCCATGTATCCTGAGTATACGATGTGATGTACCCTCCGTGTGGCCGTGTACCCCGAGTATACGATGTGATGTACCCTTCGTGTGGCCATGTAATCCGAGTATACGATGTGATGTGCCCTTCGTGTGTCCGTGTACCCCGAGTATACGAGGTGGTGTACCCTCTGTGTGTTTGTGTACCCCGAGGATAGAATATGATGTACCCTTCGTGTGGCCATGTAATCCGAGTATACGATGTGACGTACCTTCTGTATGTCCGTGTATCACGAGTATACGATGTGATGTATCCTCTGTGTGGCCATGTACCACGAGTATACGATGTGATATATCCTCTGTGTGTCCGTGTATCACGAGTATACGATGTGATGTATCTTCTGTGTGTCCGTGTATCACGAGTATACGATGTGACGTACCTTCTGTATGTCCGTGTATCACGAGTATACGATGTGATGTATCCTCTGTGTGGCCATGTACCACGAGTATACGATGTGATGTATCCTCTGTGTGGCCGTGTATCACGAGTATACGATGTGATGTATCTTCTGTGTGTCCGTGTATCACGAGTATACGATGTGACGTACCTTCTGTATGTCCGTGTATCACGAGTATACGATGTGACGTACCTTCTGTATGTCCGTGTATCACGAGTATACGATGTGATGTATCCTCTGTGTGGCCATGTACCCCGAGTATACGATGTGATGTATCCTCTGTGTGTCCGTGTATCACGAGTATACGATGTGATGTATCCTCTGTGTGTCCGTGTATCACGAGTATACGATGTGACGTACCTTCGGTATGTCCGTGTATCACGAGTATACGATGTGACGTACCTTCTGTATGTCCGTGTATCACGAGTATACAGAGTGATGTATCCTCTGTGTGGCCATGTACCACGAGTATACGATGTGATATATCCTCTGTGTGGCCATGTACCACGAGTATACGATGTGATGTATCCTCTGTGTGTCCGTGTATCACGAGTATACGATGTGATGTATCTTCTGTGTGGCCATGTACCCCGAGTATACGATGTGATGTATCCTCTGTGTGTCCGTGTATCACGAGTATACAGAGTGATGTATCCTCTGTGTGGCCATGTACCACGAGTATACGATGTGATGTATCCTCTGTGTGTCCGTGTATCACGAGTATACGATGTGATGTATCCTCTGTGTGTCCGTGTATCACGAGTATACGATGTGATGTATCCTCTGTGTGTCCGTGTATCACGAGTATTCGATGTGATGTATCCTCTGTGTGTCCGTGTATCACGAGTATACACAGTGATGTATCCTCTGTGTGGCCATGTACCCCGAGTATACGATGTGATGTATCCTCTGTGTGTCCGTGTATCACGAGTATACGATGTGATGTATCCTATGTGTGTCCGGGTATCACGAGTATACGATGTGATGTATCCTCTGTATGTCCGTGTATCACGAGAATATGATGTGATGTACCCTCTGTGTGTCCGTGTATCACGAGTATACGATGTGATGTATCCTCTGTGTGTCCGTGTATCACGAGTATACGATGTGATGTATCCTCTGTTTGGCCATGTAACACGAATAGACGACACTCCTTTTCTGGACTAATCATGACGATTTAGACAGAAAGCGATATTTTGAGTAAGCCGAAAGCACGCAAAATTGGAATTGTTCTGTGGGAATTCAACTAAATCTGGCCTAACAGGAAAGTTACGATGCAAATTCATCCTGACTGACCGAGTTCCGATTAAAACATTTTGCTGTTCCGGAAACAGAAGGGAAGTCTCACGTTGTGTACCCGTGTCTTAGCGTCCCCGATTCAGAATAAACGTCAATCAATCGTAATTAGAATATCCTCTGATTTGATGTTGTGTGGCAACAACTGTTTAGCAAATGTCTAAACAAAACACTTGTTCTGGTTACAAATGCTCTTGCTTGTGACCATCATGAGAACACAAATGGATATCTTCATCAGTAGATCGGTTATTAAAGTTGCAGATGTCGTGGCGATGAGCCCATGGTGGTGGGTTTCTGTTATGCGAAAGGGACGCACAGCAAAGGGTGTTGCCTTGACGATTGAGCAGCCCCATACTACACTGACTATATAGACTCGGACCTCGTGCAAAATGTGTTCTTTACGCTAAGGCAGGGCGGGACAACTTAGGAATGGCCAGGAGTCCGAACTTGACCACACAGAAGGAAGCGAGCTACAAAAACATGTTTTATATCATTGGAAAGCTCTCGAGGAGTCGAATCCAAATAATGTGTGTCCCAGTGTGTTCACATGTTCACAAGCTCAAAAATTGGCTGAGAAAATGCATTACTGCAGAAATTTCTGGCAGAATTTTTTTTTTCTGCAGAAATTTCTGGCAGTATTTTTTTTTTTTACAGAAATTTCTGGCAGAATTTTTTTTTTCTACAGAAATTTCTGGCAGAATTTTTTTCTGCAGTAATATCAACCATCAATCTTTGGAGAGTTTAAATTGATTTCAGCAATTGAAGATATTTATCTTGGTATTATATTTACCAAATTTATCAAGAAAAGTTGACGTCACTCGAATTAAACAATGGAACAACATGTTGGCCTCATACCTTTGTATACTAGACAGATGCAAATCATTGAACCTTGAGCTTACCCTATATTTAATCTAAATTATTATGAGAATTTCAGTGACCATTTTTCAATGGCCTTTTTACGACTTTGAAGTGTACAACAGTAAAGGTGAATGTGATTCTCAAAAAATAAATTTCATAATTATTCCATGGGGCCAACCAAATATATAATCCCCAGTTGGAATTCAAAGAAACAACCTACATGTGATATACGGTACTCTGAAAGTAGGTTAACTTCAGACATGGAAAAAAATAGAACACAACCAAGATTTTACAATATAACTGCATATATTGTTTCATAAATTTCATTGTGCACATCTCATCTCATCTTTTATATGTATATATATATATATAATTCTAAATACACAGCTTTACTAAGAAACAAAAACATACACATTACAAAACTCCTGCAATGCAATCCTCGGCAATATCTCAGCCACATAGCTTAGACAAAAAATATGTTCATTTCAGCAAAACTTGCTGCTCCTTCTTTATTGTTCTGATACTAACGCTTGTCTTCGGTGCTTTGTCAGAGTGATCTGAAAGTAAAGAAAGAAAATGTAAAGAATATGAGAACATAATTAAAATCACAGTGCATCTATACAATAAAAGCAAAAATAGTAACCTCATGAAGTTGGGTTGTTTCTCTGCCCACATTACACATATCCTAAGTAACGCTGACTAACCCTAATATTACACATCACAATACATATTTCAAAAGAAATGCAATATTTATTGAAATTACCTTTGATTGTTTTTGCAGTTTTTCATTGTTCTTCTCTATTGCCTCTTGAACTTTAGTTGGGAGGGTTGTCGCTTCCCTTGGGGCAGGCATGAAGGGCTTTAAGTCTGATAGCTTGGTGGTGGGTGTCCGGATGTCCCCAATCTTGAAGGAGGGCATCGCGGGTTGTTGCAGGCTTCTGTCTAAGTTCCCTTGCAAATACACTAAACGGTTGATCCACATCTTCATGCGTGTGCCCCACCATGAGAAAGAAAGTTTCACCTGAAAATAGTATTTACATCAGTATTATCACTATGAAAACAAATCAAATTGTACAAAACTTGTTTATTTACAGAATACTGATTTGAGTATTGAGAATATTGAGAGAAAAATCAATCTTGTGCATTTAAAAAGTTTCAACATAGTGTGCAGATTCTTTTATACTTAGGATGAGCAACTGGACATAAAATACTTGCTTCAAAACAATTCTAATGTGGTTTAAAACAATTTACATAAATTATAAAAATATTAACCACATGTGACTTCAGCATTTACTTTGAATTGTATAGTATAGCCTCAAGGAATAAATACGCTATACATGATATTGTATGTGGAATCATATACCAATAATTTCATTGATAACTATCTTCATGATAGCACTAAAAGTGATACCTTGGATTGCAGCGTCCACTTTTGACTGGCCGACAAAATCTTGCAGCTTTACTGGTCCTGGAAATGTCAAATAAATATTTGAACAATACATAAATTGCAACTTTAATGTAATTGGATAGTCATACAAATATAACAATTGCCAATTTCCATTCTCAGATATCCACAATTCCTCCAAAATTAGACAAGCCTACCAGACAAACATTGAATTTATTCAACAGGCCCGTACCAAGCATTTAGCTAAGACAAAGATAAATTTCTATCCTTCTAAACGTGTGTTACAAATATAATGTACAAACAAATGTCTTGACATACATGGCACGATCCTATTACAAAACAAATCCCATTACATCCTTTACTAATAATACTGGACTAACTACAATAACGTAACCCATATATGTGCACTGTGGATACTAAGCTCCACTGGTTTCTAAATAAGAATCTACATAACTCCCTACCAAGAGGATATGTAGACAGTAATATATGTTTTGGTTTGGTTTGTTGTTTACTGCCGCATTCAGCAATATTCCACCTATATGACAGCGGTCTGTAATTAATCGAATCTGGACCAGACATTTCAGAGATTCATATCATGAGCATCAATGCAAGTGACCACGCGATACTGTTAGTCGCCTCTTAAGACAAGCATAGAATTCACTGGAAACTGGAAAGGAAATATCACAAAAAGACATGTTGTGCTTGGATACCAATTACACAATAATGACCCATTAAATCTTATAATTATTCTTTGCAGAAACTTTTTTTTTCATGTAAAGATACAAGGCATATTCCATCGTTCTAGATCTTCCAGAATGAACTTAAGTAGTTTTATTAAAGCAGTTATTAAATGAACAGCATTTATGAGTGGGTATAAGACAGATTCTAAAAATTTTGGTCTTCATGGCATACATTTTTTTCGTAACATGGAAGTCGTTTTCTGTTTTGACATGAAATGCAACAAATAAAAAGGGCTTCACACACTGTGCCCATGTGGAGAATCAAAACCAGGTCTTTGGCGTGATGAGCGAACACTTTCACCACTGGGCTACACAACCACTCGAGGGTAAAGAAGAAAGCACTGAAGGTTTCGACACAACATCCATAATGCAGTAATACATGGACAAACTGAACATGCATGCACATAAAAAAAAACAATTATACGGACAGAAATGGCTGTGTGTTTTGCCAAAATTCATCTATTCAATCAGAACAGGCTTACAAATGAGCAGTTTCTAAAAATACTGTTGCTAGGACGCAGCAGTGAACTCATTGTTGTGTTTATTTGCTTGTTTCTATAACTATATTCCAGCTATATGACAGCATTCTGTAAATATTTGAGTTTGGACCAGTCCATCCAGTGACTGATATCATGAGCATCAGGTTACGCAATTGGGATACGATGACACACATCAAGCAAGTCAGCAAGTCTGACCATCTGATCTCGTTAGTCGCCTCTTACAACAAGCATGGTCGCCTCTTATGGCAAGCATGGATTGCTGGAGACCTATTGTGAGAACTATGCATGTCATATATATGGCTAATATTAGCAAATTCCATTCAGGAGTATACACTGAGCCACAGCGGGCAGCTAATTTTGGCTTATGGCACATGTAACTAGTACTTTGGGGGAACTTTTGTACTGAAAGTGTTGTTTCATTGGTTGCCATCAGTTACTGAGACATATGGACAAATTGACTTACTATGAAACTGGATGTAACATTTAATTAAATAACTTTGTGCAACATACTTCCTTATAATAATTATGGTTTCTTTTATTCACTGTGGCACATGAACACCCGCTCACCTGGAATGAGTGAGTGAGTTAGGTTAGACGCTGCTTTGAACAGTATTTCAGGTATATCACGGCGTGTCAACTTGATGTGGGAGGAAAGCCCAGAGTTATGTAGGTCTTAGACATTTACCACTGGTCAAACCCATGAGCATGTGTATGTTGCTGAACCATGAACCGAACACATCCAGGGACAAAACTCTGCACTAAAGAATATAAACCGCGGGAGTAAGAAGTGAAAAACACCCTTAATATTGGAAGAATTATTATGTCATTATAATGCGAAAAGGAACAAGTGTTGAGTCCCACTACCAACTAACCAAATTTCATTATTTTGAGCAATAACCGAGTTATGGGTGGCAAATATCCAATTCAAGAAATTGGGGTTGTCAATCAGGTAAAGTTTCATTGTCCAGTGGTATCTTGAGAAGATTGCTTGTATTGTGCAAAGAATTGCATTTTGAGAGAGTGCAAATTAAGGGCATGTAATGGTCAAAATATAAAACATTACGAAAACAGAATCTGTGATGATCCCCATTACAATCTCTACTGGATTTCATTACATATTGTACAAACATGGCTCAGTAATGTCCAAAAGAAGTTTCATCTTTTCGAAAGCTGGATGTGATGAGGTCAAGTTAAAATGTGTAATTTAACAAGAGCACTAAAATTACTGCACATGTATCACCTTTCAAACAAAAATGACTTCAGAAGTAATGGCCATAAATAGCATTATCAATATTGTTGTTATGGCATCAACACTCTTGAAGTTTTGGAGTAGATTTGTTCTAAATCTAAGACGGCTAAGTGGCAGTCAATTCCAATTCCATTTTTGATGAGTTGATTTCCCACAAATACTTGATGGAAATAACTTGATTCTGATTGGACAATCAGGTTATGAAATCACAATAATCCCCCTCTTATTAAAAAGGCTGATTTGGAAACTAATATTTTATAAAGTAGTACTTTTTTACAGTCATTGTCAATAAGCATTTTAAAATATTTACATTTATAGGATACAACATGCAAAGTTTCACTACAATATTGAAAGGATGTGTGGCAATACATTTTGTGCAGAAAACCATAAAAAATCTACAGAGAGAATGATTTTCAAGTTTTGAGGACAACAGAGAGCTTGACATTGGCACTTTTCATTTTAGGACTGTTACGTCATATCTTTTGTGTCACAGTGAGTGATATGTCATCCTAGTGGCTAGCTTAGTTTTCTTTTGGGGTGCCCACTTCATGGTGGTTTTTGTGCTACATGCTTTCAATGCCTGACCTATGTGTAAACAAACTGTTTAAGCATATACAGCACCACTGTCGGTGATTTTGTTTGTTTGTTCACTTTTTTGTTTAACACCGCACTCCAACAATATTTCAGCTATATGACGGTGGTCTGTACAGAAGTCTGGACCAGACAATAAAGTGATTGACATCATGAACATCAATCTATGATTTGGGATATGGTGACAAGTGTCAACCATGTCAATAAGCCTGACCACCCAATCCTGTCAGTCGCCTCTTACAACAAGCATAAACACAACATGTTTTTAACGTGGAGCATGGTTACCTGTAGATTTATCCAAGCTTAATTTAAGATTTGAAACCTCATTCTCTGTTTTCGTTTCCAAATTCAATTCAGTGCAGTTTACAGGTTACCAAGTGAAACATTGAAAACACAGTATTTTTATCTCCTGATTAAATACTGAATAAAATTGGTAGCATATATATAGGTATTAATAGAGTTAGATAGAGAGACAGTAACATGAGAATGATATGAATTACAAGTCTACAGACACTAGTTATAGTTAGATAGAGTGACAGTAACATGAGAATGATATAAATTACAAGTCTATAGACACTAGTTAGTCTGAAAATGTCATGTAATACTGAAAATGTCATGTTTTAATGAAAACTTGATTTTTAAACATTTTGATAATGCAATACAAAAAACATTCATAAACAAACATTTCACAAAACTGTGATGCAATAAGATCAGTGTCATGTTTTTTTCAAAATGACAATCTATCATTAAGTATTGTGACAATGTCTTGCGCACTTAACATAAACTGTATGGTTTTGGGCCATATTGTCAGTGCCACAGATGTAGTGTTCGGAACTGGTTGAAATTCACAACAAGAATGATGAATAAATCATACAACATTTGTCAAGATTAATCAAGTTCTCTCAGATACATGTAGCCTATAGATCCTATAGATCCTATAATTGCATCAATGTTACAGTCACGCTCGCATGTTGCTGTATATAAAAAAATTAAACCTTAGAGATATTAAAACAGTATTATCTCACGTAATTATTCCAAGCTGATGTAATTATACCATCTTTTTTATTTCCAAGTGTATATTTTTAATTGATATTGAAGATGAAACAATTGACATAAAAATCGCAAGTGGGTGGGTTTGTTTTTTTGCTTGAATGGGCAATTAAAATAATAATGTAAAAAGTATCCAGTTGGCTATTAAATTACATTCATTTTCCCTAAACCAATGTCAGCAGTTATTGTTTTTTTATGACATAAGTAGAAATAAGTTATAATGTGTATATTTATATAAAACATGAATTACCAATAAAAACATCATATTTGGAAGGCAATCTGCCATTAATATAATGTAAGTATCTTGTAGGGATCAGCAAACAGTGCAGACAAACATTAAGGATGTGCAGGGGCAACTTAAGATTAAAGATTTCTTGAAATGTTAATGGTTATCCAAAAACTTAATAAAACATCAATTAATCATCTCTTTTATAGCACTGCTTGTGAAAAAGAATAATTGTTGATTTGTCTCAAGATTTCACTACTGAAAAAACTTTTGGTGAATATCAACTTTGTCTTTCATACATTGTACACATGCTTCCATAAAAAAAAAAAAATTGTATAATAGAATGTTATGTTAATCATTGTCAGATTTAACTCAAGAGTGACAATTATCTATTTAGATATTTATCTAGTTTACATAACCCTAACAATGACTACCGAATTTCTTCCATTTAAAATTCTTATTATCATAAAACTTTAAAATAGGCACGTCAAGATAAGTCGTATTCTACATCTGAAATCAATGTTAGTGACAAGACTTTAATAGACTTTTAAAAGCATTTTACACTAAAGGACAGTCATGAACATGAATTTTTGTCCGCTTATCTAAACTTACATTTAACCTAGCTGACAAACCCCTTGTGAAACAATAATATGAATACACTGAACAGTATGAATGACCTGACAAACATCAGACTATGTTTATTCATAGTCTTTTTCTTATGCCAAACTCTAAAAACATGATCCTATCTTTATTACAACTACAATTTATGCAACGGAATTCTGTTACTGATGTGCTTTGTAATGACGATTTCGCGATTATATGAACGAATGATTCGTCAAAGTTCCTTAATGCTTATCCACATTCTGACTGGTGATGAATGATTCTTGTCAATGTTTTTGATAACCTTGTTACCTCAGGGAGCAAAGACATGTTATTATTTTCACAAGATTATTCCTGTTTCACAAAATTTTGGTTGAAAAAGTATGTACCAA